CAACTTTAGTCAATTGGACAGCATGTCCAGCGCCAGTGCTGAACAGCCATTTGACTGTAAGAGTGATCAGCCCATTCTAGATCATAGGGAAATTGAGAGAAGTTTCACATTTAAGACATGTAATGTAGATAATTTAACATTCTGAGGTTGCTTCTGCTTCTGGTATGTATGGTTTTGTTAGGCCATGCTTTCTGTTCAGTTCTTTACAAGATAAAACTATAGGTTCACTCTTTAATAAATTATAAAAAGCCAGAGCTTGTGCTATAGGTATTGAATTCTTTAGGAGGCATAACAGTATTCATACTTTATTAAGAGCAACCACATCTGACCTCATCTTTTATCATATATCTTCTGACTTTTATGGACATTTTTATACTCCATTTAGTCATTTGCTTCTGTTTTCTTCCCTCTAATATAAGCATGATAAGGCAAATTCCATGTCTTCCATGTAGATTGTTGATCTTTTCTTCTTGTCATTTTGTTTTGTTTTCTTTCTTATTTGACCTTCTGCCAACAATATTATATGTTTTCCTAATTCAAAGCATAGAAATGGCCAGCTGGTCATGCCAAAATATATATCAGAAAACAAAAATGAATGGAAGTTACCTCCGGGCTTGAAGATGTCTTCTTTATCGCGAGGATTCATTCCTTTCATACTAGTCCTATAAGTTGCTCCTGTATAGGTAGGTTGACCATGAACATATGCCAGGAAGCCTCTAACTTAACAAATCCGAGGGAACCAGATATGAAGGGACAACAACGGAAGGAACAATGTCTGCTCTGATATTATGTTGAATTTTTAAGACGAACATGCGAAACCAATTGTTGATCCTTACTACATTTATGTGCCCAAGAAACCTCAACTTAATAGATGTGAGATTTTTTTATCACCATATGAACAATATCAACTCAATTTTCTTTGTTATTTAACTGGTAACATTTCCTATCTATGATTTAGTCTGCTTTAGGATAAGGCCAAAGTTACCTCTTAAATATAGTAATCTAATTTTGTCATATTGTGGGATTTTTCCAAGTCTCAACCTAAATATTCACATGCACGGCATAGATATAAGTGGTATATTTTCTTGAACCAGGGAACCATTCCTATGTATATCTCAGCAAACAGTACATATTCAACTGCATAGTAACAGGAAATGGACCCTCTTGAGAAACCTTTAGATGATTCTGAGCCATCTGATTCTAATCAGATGGTTAAGAATATCTAAGTATTTTATTAGTTTGAGTAGAAATGATCACAGGTTAAGGATTATTAATAGTCACATACTCACATGTTCAAGATACTTTGCCATTTAAAATTCAGTAAAGAATGATTCCAGCTCTCAGTTGCCGCCTGTTACTAACTGCCAAAACCGGCCACTGAAGCTAAGGCTGGTTAAGGCTGAACTGCTAAAATTATTATATTTGAACAATTCCTGTGAAAAGTTAAGATTTAAGTTATGCTGTTCAATGTCTATAACTCCTTAGATCTGCAATGTGCCTATCTCTATCCACTTTCTTCACGTTAGTAGCAGTCTTAACCTTTTTTGAGATCAGCATTTCAACTGCATATTGCCAAAAGATCTCAAATGAAACCCTTGTGAAAGCCTCTTGTCCATTGAACTTTGACATCCTCCGGAATTTGGTCAGTGAAGACCCTGCAAGGACTGAATTTGGTAGCATTACCACACAGTGTCAAAACATTCTTGGAGGAATCCATTTGGTTCAATCTAAGTATCTCCAGATGAATGGGTACTTTGTTCCCCCTCCCATCACTTCTGAGGCATGCTGGGAGTCCTACCAGAAGTTAATAGGTGAGTTTGTGAATGATTTTGATATCAAAACTTCTTGTGGATACCATGCAGAATGGATTTCAAAAACCTGCATGAATGTAACATCTAGAGCACAGTTTGAGAGCATAATTCCTGATACCAAATTGAACAAATTACGATATTACTGTGCTCAGTCTCTGGATAAAAGATTTGCTTGTGGAATGTGTACTCGTAAGTTGATCAGACTTAGGAAAATATACCTTGATGACATTGATGGCACAGCCGGGAATATCTCAGCTTGTTCATGGTATCCTAATATGTACACAGCTGCATATGTCAACCAGTTTGGGCCAACTGATAGAGCTACTGCTAAGTGTTTGTTTTTCCTGGAATTAAAACCAGAGAAATTCAGCAGCAGGCGACACCAAAGTATAATTGCAGGGGTTACAGTTGGTTCTCTTGCTGGTTTACTTGGGGCCCTTGCTGTAATTTTATTCCTCCGGATGAGACGACCGAAGAAAAATAAAAAGGAGAAGATCAATCCAGTTATAGAGAAGAATGACTCTGTTAAAGATGAGACTAGTTTGGTTTTTGGATTTGGACTGTATAGCAAAAGCACTAGTTTAATAAAGTTCAAAATTGAGGAAATAAAGAATGCGACAATGAATTTCTCCAGGAAAAATATAATTGGAATGGGAGGATATGGGAATGTTTATAAAGGGATATTACCAGATGGTTCTGAAGTTGCAATAAAAAGAGTCAAAAATTGTTCTGTTGCTGGAGATGCAAACTGTGTACATGAAGTAGAAGTCATTGCAAGTGTAAAACATGTCAATCTTGTTGCTTTAGGAGGCTTCTGTACCGCGGCAGTTCCTTTGGGAGGTCATCAGAGAATCATTATTTGCGATTTGATGCATAACGGAAGCCTCCATGATCATCTTTTCGGATCAGGAAAGAAGAAACTTAGCTGGCCTGTTCGTCAGAAGATTGCCCTCGGAACTGCAAGAGGTTTAGCTTACTTGCATCATGGTCTGCATCCTGCTATTATTCACAGAGACATCAAGGCTAGTAATATACTTCTAGATGAGACATTTGGGCCAAAAGTTGCAGATTTCGGCCTGGCGAAGATCAATTCAGAGGGAATGACACATTTAAGCACAAGGGTTGCTGGAACTCTAGGCTATGTTGCTCCGGAGTATGCCTTGTATGGCAAGTTAACCCAGAAAAGTGAAGTTTACAGCTTTGGGGTGGTGCTTCTGGAGCTTTTGAGTGGCAAAAAGGCATACTCAAACAATGAGGGAAAGATTTTCCGGCTGACAGATTGGGCTTGGGAGCTTGTCCAACAAGGGAAGGCATTGGATGTTATTGACCAAGGCATGCCAGAGATCAAATCGCCAGAAGCGATGGAGC